TCCATCGAGATTTGCAGGAGCATGAAGAAAGATCACATCACGCTGGAGGTGTACAATGAGCTTCGTGGCACTGACGAAGAGATTCTGGAGAATGACATCAAGGTCCGGGAGATTGAGCTGGAGGAGAGCGATGTTGACACTTAGCGGCTTAGCGCGATGTAGCCGTGCGACCATGGATCTAGGCGCGACCGACCATGGCGTAGGCAAGACAAACAAGTCGTGCTTCCACAGATGCTGACATCATCTGACATCCACATGAGTGGAACCCTATTTTTCCAAGACCCGGCATGACATCAGATCTGTCTCATGCAGCTCTCCCTTACACTTTGATTGCAAGAGTCTTCCATGTCATTTGCGATTGAGAGCTTGTTGCAAGGTTCCAGGAACCGTCGGGGCCAGCGCCCAAAAGCGGGCGGCTTCAAGGTCGGCTGGTTTGCATTCCGTGTCTTGTTTGACAGGGTGCCCGCTAGATAAGGACACCAAGATTGAATATTCATTGTGGGGCAGCAAGCAGGGTGAATGCCGAATTAGCTTACACTCGTGAGAGGAAGGGTCCCAGCATGACCAGTTGATTTTTGACCCCTCAATTTCCATCCCAGGCTACGGCTAGGCGTATTTATCACTCTCTAAGTCTCTTAAGTAGCATCCTTGGAGCACCGAACGTCAGGGGTGTTTGTGATCTCATTCACCCTTTCCGAAATCTGCCCAGGACTCCGGTCGACTACCTGGGAGGAGATGCACGTCTGATCCAAAAATGAGTGCAGACCATGGGGTCTGGGGAGTTCAAAGCGACGGTCTTTCTGCCAGGGGCCTGCCTGGCAGAAGAAAACCACACGGGTTTCTCACTCGTGGGCGAACAACCGTCCATGTCAGAGACATGTGGTTTGTGGTTTTCTCACCCTTTGGTGGTGGACAGTTCTGTTTTCCATGTCACGCAGTTGGGGCAAACAGCGGATCCGGACATGTCACTGGTGTTTCTTCACTCGTTGCGTCAAACACCTTCGAACGATGAACGAGAGGTTTGGGCAGTTTGGCAAACACATGGCAATGACATGAACCAAGAACAGTCGCCTGAACAACAACAACAAGAACAAGAACAAGAACAAGAACAACAACAACAACAACAACAACAACAACAACAACAACAACAACAACAACAACAACAACAACAACAACAACAAGAACAAGAACAAGAACAAGAACAAAGAACAACAACAAGAACAAAGAACAAAGAACAAAGAACGTTCGCCTCGTCGTCCGAGTTTTTCGCCCTCGCCGACCTTTTCCAGCTCAGACTCCGCCCGAATCGAGTCGCGGGCGCGATGGATTCGACTCTCGACGGACCGTGATGGATTCGCTGAGGATTTCCAGGCCCCCGTGAGACGGGACGACTGGACTGGAGTGATCTGGGGTGCGTCTGTGTGGGGGGTGATCTTGGTTCATGCAGCTCTGAGTCCAGGAGGTCAGGGAGAGAAAACCGCTTAGGTCGGTGATGGACCCCTTGGCCTTTGGGATGTGGGGCATGGCTTAGGGGGGTTTAAGACGTTCGCAGCTTTACTGGCTTTGGTGAACTGCGAATCTGTCTCTTTCCGAGGTTGTGGGGGTTGCGGAGATGGAGAGATGAAAGCAACAGGAAGGACTCATGACATGCTGTGCAGTAGTACAGGTTGGAGGATGTTGGAGGTCTGTTCGAAAGCTTTGTATACAGAAAGGCAACGAGTCAGTCAAGAAGGTGCGGGAGAATCATGCATCTCCGTAAATCTTACAAGGTGCTCGTGTGGTATGATTCTGTGATGCAACATCTTCACATCTTGCAGGATTTGTTGTACCTGTCTTCAAAACAACATATCAGATATATCAGCGTCTCCATCCGCTGATGGTGGAAACACCATGAGTTGCTTGTCTTTTGTTTGCCACAGAAAGACGAACAAAGCACCGGGCATCACCCGGACCCCAATCGGAATCGGAGGAGCGCATTTCGCTGGAAATGGGAAGTGAATGGAAAGTGATCTGTCTCAGAATGTGTGATGCAATGTGAATGCCCCATTTTTCTTTTGGGGCACCATAGATCCATGCACCAAACAGTGCACCGAAATGCACCAAACAGGGACTCGCTCTTCGATCCGCGAGGTGACGTGGAGGAAATGGCCCGGGGCTGAGAAAGGAAGATCGAAGGACTCAGGGACGTCGAGGTTTGTTACAGTTGTTTCCGAAATGTTTTTTTTTGAATAATGCACACTCTTTCGACGAACAGGTGCTAAAGTTCAAGTTTCCATGCGATCTTTTGTCTTCGATCCGGATTTGACTGAGTCTGCAGTGGCCGAGCTGGAACACTTCATCGGCTATGGCGGCAAGCACCTCAACACCGTTCGCTACCATCCCACGGAGGCCCGAGTCCTACCTCGGTCAGACGTTGATGCTTGGACATGCCGAGACGTGACATGACTCTTGTGGGAGTCGGTCAGACTATAAGAATGGTCTGACCAACGGGGAACTGATGAAAGGGAACTTCCTGAACACTCCAGCTCAACATATAGTCGAACTGGACTTCTACTAGCACTTGTGTTAAGTCGTCTGGTCTTGTAGAAAGTCGTCTGGATGCTGCGTTTCCATTGGGGTTAGACGCAACATGGCAATATAACTGGAAGAGCATTAGGTCAACAACATTGTTTGGATGCTGCGTTTCCATTGGGGATAGATGCAAGATGGCAATGATGGCAATATAACTGGAAGAGCATTAGGTCAACAACATTGTTTGGATGCTGCGTCTCCATTGGGTTAGATGCAAGATGGCGATATAACTGGAAGAGCATTAGGTCAACAACATTGTTTGGATGCTGCGTTTCCATTGGGTTAGATGCAAGATGGCGATATAACTGGAAGAGCATTGGGTACATGGTTGCATGGGACTCGCGCGGCACTCGCGACAGGGTCGAAAAGACTCGCGTGGCACTCGCGCCAGCCTCACCATGTTTCCTTTAGTGATCTTTTCCACATGAAGGTCATTAATGCACAGCTCTTGAAGAGCAAAGCAAGCAGGGCAGCATGCTGCATCTATGTTTAGGGGGTAATCTTCACCATAGTCCTAACCTTGCGTTCTGATTGGGGTTTGGTCACCAAAACGCTGCAAACTTCGACATCAAACTAGTTCTTTCCTGCACAGGGGCAGTGAATTCTTGATGTATAGCAGTTTTGACAAACATGCTTCCGTAGAGCGTTTACATTGTGTTTTAACATAAACCGGGTGACTTTTCGCGAGCCGGGTGACTTTTGACTAATGCTGCGTTTCCATGCGGCCGGGTGACTTTCTGCAAACCCGGGTGACTAAACCCTAGCGCTAGTAGGGTGGGATGTGAGCCGCCCATTCCGGTCCCAACTTGTCGACAGTCATCCCCCCACGTTACCTGTGGGTCTCCAGGCAGAGACATTGGTGTATGCCGCCGCGTCAGCCATCATCATTGAGAACGTCAACGTGCGCCCAAAAGGGGGGACCGGGGGGGGCAATGGCGATGCATGAGGTGAATCTGATTGATATATGATATAAAATATGGTAAAATATGATATAATACTCTTCTTTACTTATTTATATATATGTTCTTTTTGAAAGTCTTGGACTCTTGGCATTAGTTCCTCCTGTGATGAAGAATCCCGGAGAGCCAGCCTGGATCGCACATGCTCCCAAAGCCTGGTCTTGGCTTCCAGGATCCTCACAAGCAGGAGTTCCTCAGAGGACATGACGCGGACGTGCGGTGTCCCAGCACCCCCGTGCTGAGCGTTGCGGCCGTGCCTGTGGCGGTTGGTTGAGCATTTGTTTTCACCGAGTTGTTGGGTTCATCAGTCAACAGGAATTGGTACCCTCATTCTAAGCATCCTGATGCACATCGCCAGTCCTGCTATGTGGAGTCTCTTTTCACGTTTCAGATCGTTTCACAGTTTTTGATTGTTTCATGTCAATGAGTCATATGGGTTCATATCCGTTTTCACAGTTGCAGTCGTATGTCATGGTCATATCGTTGGATCCCCATCGCCCAGTCTCGCCCCTCCTCAGGTGTCAGCGATCGACCTGTCCCTGAATGGCAAGCTCTTGGCCAGTGGGCAGCGGGATCCCCGACTCACGGCGTTTGGACGACTCGTTTTTCCTCGTCCAGCATGGCGACCTCATGGGAGACCGAGGACCAGAGGTTGAAAGGATTTCATGCTGAAAAAGAGAGAAGGCACGTCAGCGAGTCCTCCGCTTTTCATGGCCAGCTCAATTTCGGGATACTCATTGTGTCATTGAGATGACCCAGTAGATGATGACCCAGTAGATGTCAGCTCTTCTCACTGCAGTTCTTTCTCCTGTTTTGACTGGAATACCTTCGGTGCTCTCCTACCGGTCCTACCGTCTCTACTCGCCTAGGCTCGGTTCACCGTTCCGCAAGGGCGCTGTGGCGTCACGGTCTCGGAATCCGGGCGACGCTCCGACGGGGTGAACAACTATGAACAACAACTTGGCCCAGGGGTCTCTTTAGACAGATGGCAGATGCAAAAACACTGACCGGTTATGAGGTCAAAATGGTCAAAATGGTCTTTTTGGATGCCGCTTGGCGCAGGGTCAGGTCTCACATTGGTGTTACGGTCTCAAGCGGCCATGGCCGTGAAGCTCCGTGCTGAAGCTCCAAGGCCGGTGGTCGTTTGGGATTTCGACAACCGAAGTCGTTACATCGACTTCAATGGCCCGGCGGGCTCAGTTGGGATTCGACATTTGCACCCAGGAGCAATTTAAATACATCAATGTTTGAAGATACTTGAAGTTCAATCTTTCATCCCCTGACTACTCTTTTTTGTGAGTCCAAGCAGAACAAAGTGTTTGGATTTGGATGGTTTCAGGATGTTTCAGGAGCTTTCAACCACCCTGCGATGCCGAGCAGCTTAGGTCTAGCCCATTCGGTGCTTTGTGTTTGGATCTCAGTGCTGAATTGGACATCGGTCATCTCGCCCTGGAAAAGGAACGAACAGCAGGGCAGATCACCATCAACCACCCGTCTTTCATGTTGCGAATTAACTAAAACCAGAACAGACTTCTATTTTTCAGAGAGCATGTTCCACCAACCCTGGCAGAAAGGTATGTGGATCCATTGGGAAAGTGAACTGATGTGAACTGCAGACTTTTGGAGCCTTTGCCCCCAGAACTGTCGTCCAGGTACGGTTCTCGCCGGACGGGCGCTTCCTAGTCGCAACGGGCGCCAACCAAATGCCGCTGGGATGGCCAAACGGGTTCTGAAGGGTTTGGCCAAATCCTTAGAGGTCGGGGTGTGCGTTGAGTGTGATTCGTGTGTCGTTGTGAAGTTGGTAGAATGATGTTTCATGAGTCTTGGGGGTTACGAGAGTCTAGTTCCGGACTTTCTGGGTGTGGAGACCACCACGAACATCGACCTGAACATGATAGGTCTGTGTCCTTCACCCGTACTTGCGAGGACTGGCATAGCTTCTTTGTTCCTGCTCCTTTACACACCTCAGGATTCGATGCCTTGCTCAATTGGCAAATTCGATTCGTGCCTATTCGTGCAAACAATGGAAGCGGAAAACCGTGAATCAGCCACGTGACGTCCCATGTTTCCTTTGACGTCGGAAGTCCCAACGACGGAACACGAGAAGTAGGTGAATCAACATCTTCATCTTCGGAGGCAAACGCCAGGAAAGTGGCGGCACGGCACTCCATCATTCACCCTTTGCACCCGATTCCGGGGTGTTTTTTTTGTTTTTCTGTGGGCCCTTGGGACTGGGACGGGCTCCTTTCTCCATTTGAGACAGGTACATACAACCTCTTTCTTTGGTAGAGTTGTTTGTACCACTTGGTACCTAAAGGCCCAGAGCTGTTTGAGACATGGCGACATCTGCCGAGGATCTTCGTTTGGGATGCACCGGGCTCAGAGGATCGGCGCCGTCGCCGGCGCCGGTCCGCTTTGGCCTAGTCGTGGTGATAGCTGCGCTTGTGTCGGTTTGGTGTGTCTTAGAAGGACACCTAGTGGTGATAGCTTTTTTTTTAAGCTGCGCTTTTGCCTAAGTGGTTGTGGTCTTGGTGTGTCTTCTTGCTTCGATGAGGTCTCCACGGGAGAAGTGGTCTACAACCGCAGGAGATCAACACACACCGCACCTACAGACCCCACACCGACGGAGGTCATGAAAGGGCCAACGACCTTGGCCCCGTCGCCAGTACCCGTTTTGTACCCGTCGCCAGTTGATCATCGTTGATCATCTTGAACTTGGCCTTGTGGGATCGTTCTGACTTCCCCCTTGTTGACAGCAATGCCGCACATGTCCGACTTTTTATCCCGACTCTTCATCTCGCTAGGACGGAGAGTCCGTGTTTCCTGGGAGTTTGGGGCCCCATCTTGGATCTGAGCTCGCAGGGGTGGCCCAGCCTTACGGGCACAGACTGTTGTCGCTGATTCGAAGGGACGGGGCTGAGAAGATTTGCGAATTCCAAGGCTCTTGAGTCATGGCTGGGGTAGGTCAGGTAGAAAGAATTTGAAAGAATGACCATCCAGGAGCTGCAAGCCTCACCACGTGTTCTTCCCGACTCGGGATGATAAGGATCAACAAGGTGTTGAGGGAAAAAGCATTGAAATCCCCATGAAAAAGCATTGAAAAGCATGCCCACATCTCTGAAGGCGCTATCCATCGTATCAGCCAGCAGCTCAGAACTACACCGCTGCGACCGCAGCGAATCGCTCTATGTTTCTTGGGTTGCTTCCCTACCCGGCTGCAGACCCTTTGTTTGGGCGAACGACCTAGGAATCATTCACCTCGGTGAAAGGAGAAACCTCCAGTCTTTTGTTTGAATAGCGTCCTAAAAATACCGAGGTTGTGTACGACCTACGACAGTCAAGTGCTCTACCATGTCATGAAATTTGACATGAGGCGCCGGCCTGGGCTGTAGGAACACCCGCAAAGTGCAACAGTTTTGATAGTGCCATGCAGTTTGCCTGTTTTGCTTGCCCAAGAGAAAACTCACTTTGAGCAGACCTTTCTTTAAGGAAAGGGAGTTGCTTTGCAGTGGAGAGTGGAGAGCATGTTCATCAAGATCATATGCTCACAACTAGTTTAGTGGCCAGCGTTTCCTCTCTTATAATTCAATTGAATGAATGGTGCCTGCATGACATACACGCAGCACCAACAACAGCTCAGCTTGTAGCAAGTCAAGACAACTGCCTCCCAATGTTTGCTCTGAACTACAATGCATGAGGAAGCTGCCTTTAGAAACCAACGACACACAACCCCTTTGCGGCATAAATAGAATCACCTGTTTCTCATTGTCCCTTGTTTTTTCTTCATGCAACGATTGAAGCTGTGGCACCACACCTTTGGATTGACAGTGTTGCTCCTTTTTCAAAGAATCACAGTATCTCATGAAGTGGATTTAGCTAAGATAAGGAGTTAACTGGTTGCGGTTGCATCATGCTATTTTATTGACAAGCCACCTTGTTCAACCTAGGAGTTTAGGCTTAGGAGCTTCTGAATGCTGCAAGCATCGAGGTTAAACAGAGTCATCAAACTCTGGTCGAGGTAAAGACACTTCAGGACCTCGAATGCGAACAACGCGCGGTTTTCTGTTTCACGGACCTTCACTCGTTTTCCGCCAGGTCCATGTGCTACACCTTGGAAAGCGATGCGATGCAGTTGGGAGTGCCCAGAGGATCCGAAGATCTGATTTTTTAGTTTCACTTGACTTCCAAGTTTTCTTACAAGCGTCCTTGTTCCTAGTAGCGATGCCCTTTGTTCCTAGTAGCTTCTTGCTCCTAGTAGTAAGGCCAGGAGCCCCGATCGTAGCGTCCGATTTCATCGCGTAGCGATGCCAGGAGCGCCGATCGTAGCTTCTTAGAAAATTTAGGGAAGCCTAATTAGCCTAATTAGGCACCTTTACAGAGGACCCGTCACACAACCTAGCAGTGATAGCCTAAAACTGCTAGAAGCAATGGCCTCCAACCTAGTAGCGACCTCAAAATGCTGTTTCTGATTGTTGCCGGGTTTTCCTTCGGGGTTCGGGGAACGTTGCCCAGACCATGTGCGAACGAAACTCGGAAGAATCGACAAGGGAGTTCGTTTTTTGAGCCGAACGGAGACTCCCTGACGCACGGGAGTCTCTTCTTGTGGAGCAAAATATATGGATTTGATTGGACTTGAACAGGAGAACATCAGCAAAGTGAGAACAAGTCCTGTTTGTTCGCATGGTGTGCTGATCCAGCTTGTTCGCACCAACCCTCCGGTTCACGGCAAGGTTCTTGTTTTGCCCAACACTTCAAGTCATTCGAGGTTTCCGCCTTCGGGGCTGCAGCGGAAACACATTTGTGGCCTTGTGACTGGGGACTTTTTAACGACAGGCGAGGAACCTGAGTGCATGACGGTGTCGATTTGTGTGTGTGTGGCTACATGTGTGCCTGCTCATGAACCCTAATAAACTGTATCATATAACCCCGGCTTTAAGAGTCTTGCGACATTGCAGCAGGTGTTCCATGTGTTGTGTGCAACATGTCAACCGAAGAGGACATTTGTGCAAGCCAAGAATGAAGTCACTCTTCCTTTTCCGCCTGAATTCTGCATCCGACCTAGTGAGAACATCAAAAAGTATCCGACCTACTGAGGTTCAACCATCTTAAAACCGGTATAGGGTAACCTTGCCGCTGGGTGACCCTACCGCTGTCCCGTCCCTCGCCAGGCACCTCGGCGGGTGACCTTTGTGTCTTCAACATCAAGACCAAGGCCGGTGACTTTTGGAAGGACCTGCGGTCAGCGTCACCGGGGGAAGAGATCCGGGAGACACTTGGACGGATGCACCGCTTGGACAGAGGAACGCGCATCAATCACTTCACAGCGGTGCCATCGGCAGGTGTTCCGCACCGCCCTGCCTGTTTGCAATAATGGCGCCTTGACCGCACTTAGTGTCTTTCCACTGTCATCTCTTCTATATGTTCTGCCTTTTGCACACCAACTTACTGGTGCCTTTGTGGCTTTTCTTCTGCAAGTTCGACTTTCACCCATTTCTATGAACTTGTTGAACACTGGAAACGGAAAAAGCAACAGCGCCACGTCGATGCGGTGTGAGTGGTCGGGTCTTAGGCGTTACCAGCATGGCCCAGCCTCTTGGTCGCAACTTAGGCGATCTATATGTGGCTCTGTTCTGACTCCGGTGTGGTTGTAAGTACAGAATTGTTGCATAGGACTACACTTCCCGATACCATATATTAATATATCTATATATGATATATACATACAGGAGTCAGTCTTTATCTCATGGCTTACCTGAGACGCATTAGTCAAAGCATGTCAAAACAGGAGAGTGCGGAGTGTGTGATTCAGAGGTTTGCGAAGGAGAATAGTCAAACTGGGTGGCTAGCACCGGACATGTTCATCGATTGTAGCCAGAAGCCACTCGAAGGTGTTGCAGAAATCGTGCAAATGGTATAATAAAGGATGATAAAGGATCTAAACATACAGGAAGCTTTAACAGCGTTTATCGTATACCCAATAGCCGGGAAATGATCTGGTACGTCTCCCTTCACTGTTGGATTTCAGACCTTTCTTAGCGAGCTTTGTGCTGCTTGGGGATGTGAAGATGTTCCACCATGTTCCACCTTATCGCATCCATGGCGGGTGGAGAATGATGGATCCATGTTTACTCTTGGCGCTTGATCCATGTTTGTGTGGCAGACAATTGAATGGACAGCGAAGACTCTTCAAGCTTTGCATGTCTTCTTAGAAAGACGGTACTCGTCGCCCTCCAAACGGAGAGTCAGACACAAACGGTGGGACCCGCAGCTCTCTCCAGGTCGGGTGATTTGCTCTTTGTGGTCTTGGACTCGGGAGAAGTTCACACAGAATCCACAGGAGCCCAGGAGCCGCCTTTCCACAGCTAGAAATACACGGAATCTCTGAACCGGTGTGCACTCACCGACCGCTGGCATTTCTTGGTTAATCAAGAGACCTTGGCCTACGCAGGGGTGTGGCCTACACTTTCTGTCAATGTCAATGTGTCAGACTAGGGCAAGCTTCGGAAGCAGGAAGCATGCCTGCGTTGGAGGTGGCTCAAGATGTCCTTTTGATCCGAAATCAAATAGAACCAACGGACCAACCTTTCTCAGCCAAACCTGCGGAACCTTTCTCAGCCGAAGACCAACCTTTCTCCTTTTGATACAGGGACTCAGCCCAACCGTTCAACCTTTCTCTGCCCAAAGACGCATCGTTCGTCCCATCACCAACGGAGTCCCATGTGACGCGAGGGCGGTCTCGACCGCCACGAGGCCGGTGGAGATGGACGGATCAAAGCGCTGCGAGGCTTTGACATCCAGTGGGACGTGCGGGGGCCCAGTGAAGGAGAAGAGCCGAGGGGGTGGTGGTGAGCTGAGAGGAGGGATGAGATATGATGAGATTCTTGAGGTCAGTCATGAAAGGAATATCTGAGGACAAAAGATGTGACATTGTAGCAATTGTAGTCATGTGTAGACTGTATAGTCAAGTCAGGTACAGGCTATAATAGCATATAATAGCTATTTCATGCTATTTGGAGGTAGCAAAGAAGACAGAGTTATGATTGAATCCGAAACACAGCATCCTTGCACCAGTGCTTGGCCAAGTCGGAGACACATTGACATGCACAACTTTGCACAACATGAAACCCAAGGCTTGAAAGGCAAAAGGACTGTCCAACATGCACAACAAAACGTTTCTCATCACACCAACAAACATATACCTAGATCTTCAAACAGCCTTTGAAAAACGTTTGTTCCCAAAAATCAGCCTTTTAAAGGTTCGGGCAGGAAAAAATGCCTGCGGGTGTTTTCTCTAATTTTCAGCCTATTGGAAGCTCACAAGGATGATGTGAGGATGGATGGGGATGCTGTGTTTCAAAAATCATTGTAATGTATGTGTTTTCGGAAAAGGCGTTTTGTCGCGGCAAAAAGGCAAATTGTCGCGGCAAACAAGCGAAACCGAACACCACTTTTAACACTAGTTCGAATCAAGTTTTTGTCCATTTGGAATTCATGTGTGGGGCATTTGGAATGTACTATGTTGAGCCAAACCATTAAAAGAACAAGTGGAAACATAAGCAAAGGCGCTTCTCCGTGAAGGCCAAAGAAATTAGCCTTTTTCAGAGTCGGGCTGAAATTAACGCCTCCGGAAGATCTAGGTATATCTACATGCTATTCTGGCAACACCTTTGATGATCCCCGCACAGAGCGGGCTCAGGGGAAAAGCGTTGACGTCACTCCACAAAAGCCACCGAGCCTCGTGGCTACAGGTCCATTTTTCACTCTCACCATGTGTACCTGGAACCAGGTACCACTGTGACGCGGTTGTGGCCGCCAGGTCCTGGCTGAAAACATGCTGGACTCCGGTGTCACGGTGCGAGCCATGGGATCTGAGAACGGATACGGGAAGCGGGGGAAGGGTGGTGAAAGCTGGTGACATCCACGGGTTTTCCATGGTTTTCCATCCAGTTTTACACAAATTATGTATTGGATATTGTTTAGAATTGTGGGAAAGTAACATAAAGTAGCCAACGGTTATTTTTCATTCTTGCATTGATCATAGCGCCCCGCTTGAGATGATGTTGTTGCTTGACCGTGAGGCCTTAACGCCCTCAGCAGACGGCGCTGAGCTGGTGGCTGGCTCTAGGCTGGTCAGTCACCGTGTTGCATTCAGCGCCTGTGCATACTTCATGCAATCCATCCTCAAGGTCTTCTACGGGCAGGGTTGTTCAAGGTTACAACCACTGGTGTGGCGATGGGTGTGGTGTCTTGCTCGTCCTCCGTCCACCACCAGTATGGTTCTTTTGGCTCCAGAATCGATTTGCTTAAGCTTCATCCCAGCATAGGAAACTGCATGTGCTCGCATAGGAGGTCGTTGAGGAATCTTGGCTTTCTTATGCATATTGGTTTCGTGAACATCGTGGCAGGAACGGGAAAATGTGGCGGTTGCTCTCCTCGGATCTGACAGCGACCCTTCAGAGCGCCTCGCACACGGGCGAGGTGCCTTCTGCCGGATGTGGCCTTTTTGAGCTGTGGAAGACAGACAAGCCAGCAGTTGTTCCCTGGGAGTCCAAGAGCATTGTTTATATAATATATTGTTTTTCTTTTTTTACATGGTCTTTAAATGTGCGTTTCCTTTACAGGACGCACTCCCAAACTCCAAACAGGGTACAAAGTGCCATGTCGACTCCCCCCCAAAAGAGTACACTCCTGAAAACTCCCAGTAAAGACCCTAAACCCTAAACCCCTTCGTTCAGATGGTTCTTCCTCTACCCAACCGACCGTGGTTTTCAGGGTCTACCAGGGTCTACCAGATTCGCCCCTCCGGTGCCTTCGGTGCGGTCCAGGTCACGGACATCGCCTTCGGCACCCGGAGCGACGTCCTGTGCACGGTGTCGGACACCGGAGAGGCGGGCGCGTGGAGACGGCTCGTCCGGGCCGGTGGAGACGGCGTGGAGACGGTGTGCGCGTGTGGGCACCTGAGGCCCAAATGAACAGATATGAAGGGGTTTTTCAATCCTAGTCGCTACGTTCGTAGCTTCTTGCTCCTAGTTCGTAGCGATGCCCGAAATGCCCCGTTCGTAGCGAACGTTGGAGCCCCGATCGTAGCGTCCGATCGCTACAATTATAAGGAATGGAGGATGTTTTGCACCGAGACGTGCTCGATGTTTCGCTCCGCGATGTTTTCAGAGCTTCGTGTCGGGCAGCATCGACCACCGTTCGGTGGACCTGCTGAAGACGCCAAGCTGTGTAGACACCTGAATCATCTGAATCCTCCTGGAGTCCCAGTGGAGTGACTCATTGATACCTTTGTTTTGTTCAATTGGTGCGTTTGAGTAGTTTCTTTGTTCATAATGTGAACACAGAGATGAAACCCAAACTACTCTCTCTCTCTCTCTCCCTGCTGTTTTTAGTATCTTAGTATCATCCAGCAGGTGGGCGGTAGGGAAAGATGTTTTCCAGCCACTTAACGTTGGATGTGTCCACCACCAGCACTATATTGGTCCAAAAGCCTTGAGCCGAGCAGTTCTTGCGACCCGCCTGACCCGCTCGATGGAGCTCTGCTCAGTGCCTTGGAGCTGGTTGGTTATCAGAGCGCTGTTGGGCCATCGATGGGCGTCGTTTTTCGGAGACCACCGAAGTCTCACCACCACTCGTCGATGCCTGGGTAGACTCGTCGATGTCCAGAAACCACGGAAGGCCTGGGAGGTGGAGGTCTCCTATGTCAGCTACACTCCGAGCACGTCACGTGGAAGTGGAACCCCCTGTTCGTAAAGGAAAGTAGTCTTCCATCCACTTCCATGTTAGTGAGTCAGGATGTACACACCCATGAAGCATGCACCTGGATGAATCAAGCTTCACATTTCATGCGCAGGTTCAATTGTTGCTTGCGATGCCAGTGGGCGTGCGGAATCTAGTCACACGCATAGCGTTTTCCAGTTGCAGGCGATGGGCTAAAAGGTATTGGGGCGCGGTTGCAGCGCTCAGGCCACCATGGCAGCTTGCACTTCTGCGACAGACAGCGAAGAGCGGACCGCCCTCCTGCAGACGCCAGGAGACGATCATGGAGCCGATGTCATCGATGACGAGTTTGATCACGATGAAGCGGCGCAAACAGAAACCGGAAGCGGCGAAGACGGCTCACGCCTTTCTACTTGCAATATTTGGCCACCTATTTGTGATCGCCGCCGGCGAGATGGATGCAAAAACCATTATGGCCAGTGTGACAGTTGCCGGCGCCGACGACGCATGGGCACTTGTGAGTAGAAGAAGGCTTACTTGAGATGGGGCGCTCGGGATTTTTGGTATAATGGGTATCAACAACATGACCCCTTGGAGCTCTGAGTAGTCTTGGAAATGGCGTACTATCTTGATGGCAATCATCACCCTCCTCTGGTAGAAACGTTTTGTTTGGAAGCTGTGCCTGATTTGCTGGTATATAAATGAAATTCAATGAAATTCAGAATGGCGCGGGCTGCGCCCTATCCTCCAGGGAGCAAGTATAGAAATTTATATCATATTATTAGGAGAGTCTCTCCAGATCTCTCCAGGCTGCTGAGGTCAAAAAGAGTCGCCTGATGAAACTTGATGACTGATGAAATAATTATCTCTATGCATGGCAGATGAAGGTGGCATATGCAAGAAGATCACAGCATCTAAAGAGTGTCTTCTTTATGCTTTCATAGATGCGTTTCGTGAGTAATTGAGCCAATGTTGGCAAATTCATCGGACAGGGTTGGGAAGCATCATATTTTGCAGAAATGATAGCCCTAAGGAGTCGAGACTTAAGGGTTCTTGAGTTCTTGAGATGAGTAATTGGTTGTATGACTATGTATGACTATAATGAATGACCTAAACTTCGACCTCGAGACGTACTTTCTAAACATGGATGATCAAACAGACACTCGACCAGCTCAGCAACACCTCGCCCAGCTGGTCAGCTGGTGCAGGTCTTCTTGTTGGATCTTTCAGATTACATGCCCATCACCACGGCCTTTGCCAAGTCACCCGTGCGAACAGCAGTGTGGAGCCCGAACGAGTGGACCATGCGAGCGAGTGGTGCAGTCGAGCGAGTTGTGCCGATTCGGTGGTTTCCAAGCGGACCGAGAATGCAATGGAAGTACCATGCAATGCAGCTCCATTTTTTGATTCGGTGGTGCAACGGAGCTTTCGACCTATATCAAATCCTACATGATATGATATGATAAGTGATATGATATAATTAGAGTGTGCCCCACGGTCTGGATATAATGCGGCACTGGGTGGTCTCCTAGTTTTGATGTCCTATTGTTGTCAGGCACTTCTTGGACAGGGGATAGAGATCCCCAGCACCGATTGGTGCACTGAGGTGGTTTGGGATTGGGATATTGAACTCGTTTGGACATAGACTTGTTGTCATTATTGCTGGATAGCTTCCACATGACGCAAAACCACCACCAAGCTACATGGTGAAGATGGTTGCCACAAGAATCAACGCTGGACAAACAGCCCAGTAAACAGGAACAAACATCAACATCACCTTCCATCATCTCATGGGTCCCACTCGAGGTCTTTGCCCGCAACGGCGAGATCTTGGCCGGTTATGTGGGGAGCTCGTGAGCCGGTCGGCGAGACGCGACCGTGGCAGCGGTCAAAACGAGTCGGAAGATGCGACGATCCGATTGGACGTCTCAATTTCCCAGACTAACAATAATAAGAATAACAGTCCTATAATGTCCTATAGATTAGTCATTGATAATAATAATGAATAGTTTAATATTTGAGAATATCCGTTGTGGGGACCAGGCCTTTCCTCGACTTTTGCTTGAATGACGAGGTATCCTGCCAAAGAACATGGAATTCCAAATTCTAGCTTTCCCAGCGAGATTTAGTTTTGGGTGAGACGTCAGTGGCCAGACTGATTCAGACTGATCACGAAAGGTAGCCCTTTAGGGGATACCTTGAGTTTGTCTTGCGAAGCAAGTGTTGGGACGTCCGGGTCTAATAATTGATCGCTCAATTCAGACCCCTCCCCC